GGGCATACAGCAAGCTCAGGTAAGGACGGGAACGGGGTGCCGTTGCTACCGTATGCAGCATGATTGTGGTGCTGGTGGAATATGCCTACCCAGAGTCCTGGAGTCACCATGGGCTAACCTCCTACTATCTCCTCGCTAGGAGGCTGGAGAACAGTCACCCGCTCCTCACACGGTTCTTCAAGCTTCAGTTCTTCTATGTGCCCGTGAAGCGAAGCCAGGGAACAAGCTCTGGTACCTGCCCATCCTCTCTGAGTCAGACATCGCCACTCCCTGCAGACTCCTTGAAGCACCCCAGCCCTGCAGTATGTCCCCAACCTTGGGCCAAATGGGATGGGAAAGTGGAATAGACAAGCGCGGGTTCCAGGTAGTGGTTGAAAAATCATCCAAAATGACCCCTGTGTCTGCGAGCACTTCCTGTGCCTGGCCCTTGTTTCCAGGTCTCCGCCCTGCACTTGGGTATGACATTCTGTTGGACTACAAAGATGGAATGCCTTCATAATTCTCTAGAGATGAAAAGAAGCTCAGCTTGGGGTTACAGATAGAATCCTGTGCTCCATAGCTATGATGGCCTGGCCTTCTATGTGGTAGGGATAACTCTTGTCCCTTTAACCAGGAGCTTGGCATGGCCTCATGGGAGGACAGTACCAATGACATTTCTCACTACCTCGGTGTGGTTTTCCCCTGGTATGAACGCAATGTGTTGGGCCTCATGTACCTGCCGCCTGAAGTCCTTTGCCAGGTAAGTAGACTCTGTGGTGGGGGCCAGAGTTCACTGGCTGCTGTCATTCAGCCTCGCTTTGAAGATTCTGGCTTTGGGGAAATCCATAGAGGGCCAGGGCTGGCTTGGGAAGGGAGAGGAAGGGTATATAAGAAGCAGAATGGAGACTGAACCCAGGGTGCGAGAGACAAGGGCTGGGGCCACTGTGGAAAAGGGGGCGGATCCTCAGGAGGGCACAAAGGAATTTAGGTGTCAATTCCCTTTCTCTCTATTGGCTATCACCCGGGAGGTCTGTGTGCCAGGCAAGGTGGAGCACAAAGGCTACACTGGGCTCCTGGCCCAAAAGTCCCTCCAGATTCCCTTACTTTCTCTCTCTCCCTCTTGCTCTGTCTGCCTCCAAATTGTTCTCTCTGCCTCTGTGTGTGTCCTTACCTCCCTTCCTCTGGTGGCTTCCTTCATTCGTCCACATCCCCCACCTGGCTTGGCTGTCCCATCTATCACAGCAGTCCCTGAAGACAGAATCTCGGCCTCTGGAGGGCTCGGCCACCCAGCTGCCCATCTTGGCCGACATGTTGCTCTACTACTGCCGCTTTGCAGCCCGCCCAGTGTTGCTGCAGGTCTATCAGACAGAGGTGAGACTGCTTCTCCCAGACTTCCTGGTAACCATGGTCATCGTGGCCAGGTCCCAGCCTGTGGCAAGCTGGGCCCACAGCACTCTACCCTCACCCCTAAGAAGCCCCTGTGCTGGTCCAAGGGGTCCACACTGATATATGTGCTCTGCTCCTGCCCCTTCCAGCTGACTTTCATTACTGGAGAGAAGACTACGGAGATCTTCATTCAGTCTCTGGAACTGGGTCACTCTGCGGCCACACGTGCTATCAAGGCTTCAGGTGGGCTCTGCGGGAACACTTATAGAGATGGTTAGGAGGTGGGGTCAGAAAAAAGGAGGGAGTGGCTGGAGATGGGGTCCTGAGAAGGAAGAGCAGAGGAAGGACTAAAGGGGGGGAGGAATAGGGTGCAGAAGGGGTCCTGTCCCTGGGGAACTGGGGCCCTGAAGAGTCTAGGCCAGAGGAAGGGGGTACCCAGGGAAGCAGGGATGCTGGAAGGAGAAGGAGTGAAGAGTGTGTCTGTGTGGCACAGGTCCAGGCAGCAAGCGGCTGGGCATTGATGATGACCGGGAAGCCGTTCCTTTAACACTACAGATTATCTACAGCAAGGTAAGTGAAGCCTGTCCTGAGCCCCTTCCTCACCAGAGCTCCGACCCAGAGCTGCTTCTAGTGTTCCCAGGCCCGCTAGTAGACCCCCAGACTTCCCTTTGTACCGATAAGTAGCCCTTTAGCATCCACACCCTCCCAAGGCATCAGGCTCTGGGGCTCTGGGCTGAAGGGTCTGGCTGTGCTGCCTTCCAGGGAGCCATCAGTGGGCTGAGCCGCTGGAGCAACCTAGAGAAGGTCTGTACCTCTGTTAACCTCAACAAGGCCTGCCGGAAGCCAGAGGAGCTAGGTGAGGGGGCTGGAGAGGATGGCTGAGGGGAGGGGCGTTGGCTGGAAGGTCCTGAGCCTGGCCTGAGCCGCCCTTGCCACCCTTTACCCTCAGACTCCAGCATGGAGGCACTGACGCTAACCCTGACGGAAGTGCTGAAAAGGCAGAACCCTAAATCCAAAAAGGGCTTTAACCAGGTAAGAGCCTCTCTCACCTCCCACACACAGCGCCGGCAGGAGTCCGGTGGGACTTGCATGTGAAGGTGGCCAAGTGTTGTGTGTGTGAGAGACAGAGAAGGGATCGCTGGGAAAGGAGAGGCACGTGTGGAGTGTGGTTGGGGGGTGGTATATACAGGCGTAGAATGTGGAGGATGCATACATATGAAAAAGGTCGTGTGGTTGCGTGATGGTCATTCAGGCTCACAAAGTCTGAGCCAGTATGGGCGCCACATCAGGGAACTCTGGGGTCTCTGAGTTGGAGGGAGAGGTGCATTGATTCCTCCCTTCTCAGAGGCAGAGACTGCGGAGGAGGCAGCCTGGCCTGATGGTCATTGCTCAAAAGCTGCCAGCCAGTCCTGTCCCACCCCCCTTCCTGGCAGCTCCTATAGGCACTTCTAGGGGGAGGGAGTGCCCAGGGCTGGCAAAGGTATGGTCAGGGCCCCGGGGCCTGACTAGGGTTTCCCTTCCAGATCAGTACGTCCCACATCAAAGTGGACAAGGTGCAGATCATCGGCTCCAGCAGCTGCCCCTTTGCCGTGTGTCTAGACCAGGATGAGAGAAAGATCCTACAGAGCGTGGTCAGGTGAGAATGGGGGCCAGCTCTGCTAAGCAAAGGCGGTCCCAGGGAAGGGTGTAGATCATGCAGATCCCTGTTCTGATACCACCCTGCCCTGTAGGTGTGAAGTGTCACCCTGCTACAAGCCGGAGAAGAGCAGCCTGCCATCCCAGAGGTCCTTCAACCAGCCAGCACAGGCTGGTCCTGACCTGTGCTCCCTTCTCTGCCTCCCCATCATGACTTTCAGTGGAGCTCTGCCCTAATGCAATTAGGAACCAGGCTAGACAGGAATGTGCACAGTTTCTCCTGGACCACTCTCGGGGCATCTGCCCTCTGTAGAGAACCAAATTGTCCTGGGCGGCACTGGGATTGCTCTGTAGGCCCTGCATGGGCCAGGGACATGTGGCCAGTGGTATCTGAAGCCTCAGAGATCTGATGAGGAAACCAGCATTAGAGAAAGAACGGCCCGGCTGCCTAGCCTTACAGATTCCACTGAGCAGAGGGAGAGGGATGGGCGAGTGGCCCTGAAGAAAGGTCTGAGTCTTGCAGTGGTTTAGGCCTCCTTTCCAAGCCCTAGGCTGGGCCCATCTTTGGTTTATCCACAGCTCAGGGACTCTATCTAGAGGTCAGTCTCTCTAAGGCATATATTGGAGAAAGACAGGTGAGACCTTTTTTCTGGCCTCAGATACCATCTCTTTATCCTACTACCACTATTCCGAGCACACACACTCTCATGCTTTCTGTCTCAAGCTCCCTGGATCCCTTGAAAAGCAGCACTAATATGTGGTCCATTGCTAGGACCTGGTACGACTCTCTTCCGAGCCCCTTTTCTGGGTCTCAGATACTGGGGAGGCAGGACATGCTTGGTTCCTTTCTAGCTAAACGGCCAGCGGAAGTTAATGCATCTCTTTGAGCCTCTGGTTCCTCAGTACTGAAGGAAAAGGGAAGTAAGTCCTCAAAGGGAGAGTCCCTGAAGAACCTTGACCAGGGCTTGGCTCCCAGCAGCTGCCCAGGAAAGCCTGGTGCCTGACCCTCTGCTGCAGATGCCCTGCCTTTGCCCTTGAGGACTCCCATGGTTTCAAGATCATCCTCATCTTTGACCTTCCTCACCTATGGATGAGGCAGAACCCATGTGGGCTAAGCAGCAGTCAGGAAGGGCCACCTAGGTACGAATCCTCCCCCACTTCCCTAGCAGGCGGGTCCCAGTGCCCTGACTTCCTCTCAGTGGGAGGGCTAGTGCACACTGTGTACAGCAGCTCCTATCTTCTCTGGACAAGATCTCAGAGGGGTAGAGGACAGAGAGGTGAGTATCTAATGGTAGAGACAGGGCACTCATGCAGGGAAAAGGACTGGCATGCAATAGGCCAAGAACCCGAAATTTAAGCCTACCGAACTGGAGGGGCTCAAAAAGTTGACAAAATGTGGCTAGAGTGGTAAGGCGGTGGCGGTCTGGACCAGGACTTGAACTTGGGCTAGCACAGGCAGGTAAGGAACCTTGGAAGTTTAACAAGTTGCACAGAGAGCCCTCCTTCCTGCCCTTCAGAACTGTTTTGCACCAAAGACCCCGGGCTCATAGGAGCCCATGAAACTCCAGAGTGCTTACGACTTGCGAGACTGTGGGCAGAGCCACTGTGTTGTCAACCCTCCATTTTAGCCACCTGTGTATCTGCCAGGTTCTGGAACAGTGTCCAGTCGTGTGTTTCAGTGTACTTTAACTTGCGGTGTGAGCATGTTGTTCTTCTATATGATCAACATGACATGAATCAATGAATGGAATTTAATATTATTATGAAATAAAATTGATTTATTGTATGTTCAGTGACTTACAATATGGAGCATGTCGTTGAACTGTTTGGGATTTACATTTATCAATTCAGGGCTGGAGGGATGGCTCAGCAGCGTTTGCCTCTCTTCCAGAGGACCCAAATCCTCAGCACCTGCATTGGGTGCCTCACAACTGCCTGTACTCCAGCTCCAAGAGATTTGATGCCCTTTTCTGGCCTCCGAAGGCATTCACACATGTGGCATTCACTTACACAGAAACACACACATACATAAATAAAAACAATAAAAAAATAAATTTTAAAAAATCGTTTCAGTTGGAGCAGAAATAAGACTCTTGGGGATTGAGTTGTTTATTTATAATTTTCCACTCCAAAGAAAATATATTTGTGCTAAATTTTCATTGACACTCCTCCATTTCAGCCACATCACACACGCTCACCCACAGAACAAAAACTCCTATACATCTCGACAGTTGCAGTTCTGTGTATCGCTCACTTGAGAAACATAAGCCAAGGTATCCTGATGTCCCTGTGCCTCCAACCTTGGGGAAGGGGTGGGCCTGAGGCTCTTGTCTCTGATGAGAAATAGAGGACCTGGATCCATGATACTAGGGAAAGAGAGAGTAAGGGAGAGAGGTCGATAATGGCCCTGCACACCGGATGACTGCCTGTACACTTGGGTCACAAGGAGGGAAAAGGAAGTGTTGGACAGTGGAGGATGCCAGCTCCAGCATCCCGGAATAGCTGCTTTGGCTCTGAGGAGGTTACAATGTATCAGTAGGCTGCCATGCATGTTGAGAACTCAGTAGGCTAAAACAGCGTTTGTTCTTTCCCACTCGGCCACAGACACTTAGGGATCATCTGGTCTAAGCTGAGCTTAGCATGGCGTGGTTGCAAGCTGTGGGGTGAGTCCAGGTCTTCACTGTGGGTCTCACAGGCACTTTGGACCTGTGTGATAAAAAAAAAAGATATGCTCTGTGGGCAACCCTGGCTACCTCACCACATCTGCAAGCTACTCCTTACCCCTAAAAGGGGTGGCAGGTCTATTCTCAGGGGTGTTGTGGGATGTCTGAGAGGAAGTATGTAAAAGGGGATTGTGCTACTAAAGTCTGTAGTTCAGGAAATCTGTCTGTCCCTAGGGGTTCTGTGAGCTGAAAGCCAGAGCTGTGTTTAGCTCTGCTGAGTTAAGTGGGGACCTGGAAGCCTTCCTGAAAAGAAGGCACCTTAGAAACAATGGCTGGACCTCCTATGTTCTTCCCAGGTAGCTGGGGCCAGAAACTGAGTGGCCCATTACCTCTCCAGCTGTCCCTGAGATCCAAATGGTTACACCTTCAGGGCCAAGAGCTCCTGGGCAGGGATGGCCCCAGCTTCTCTGCTAGCTGAAAGTAGAGAGAGAAGCAGGGGTCGAATGGCTGTCCCATCCAGGCATCTTTACACATAGGAAATGCTATATGCTGGTTAGGTCATTTGGGAGAAGGGAACCACAACTGGAGAATTGTCTCCAGCAGATTATCCTGTAAGTATGTGTCTGTGCCATATTGTTTTGATTAATGATTGATGTGGGAGGGCCTGGCCCACTGTGGAGGTGCCACCCCTTGGGAAAGTGGTCCTGTGTTGCACAAAAAGGGAAGCTAAGTGAGCCATGGAGAGCAAGCCACCAGTGAGCATCTTTCGTCTGTGGTTCCTGCCTCGGCTCCTCCTTGAGTTGCTACAGTGATTTCTCTCAGTGATGGACTGTGTGACCTGGGAGTCCTAAGGTGAAATAAACCCTTCCTCCCACTAAGTTGCTTTTGGTCAGTGTTTTACCACAGCAACAGAGAAACCTACCTAGTGCATGCCCTGTGGACTGCAAGATGCTCAGGAACTTGGGGAGAGGACTTCCCGTTTCCGTGCATGTGATGGGGTGGGTGGGGTTCCTGCTCCCTCCTTTCTCCACATTTCTGAACCTCTCTCTTTCCCTAACCCTTTCAATAAAGTCTGAGCACAGAAAGCTGGCTCTCTGGGACAAAGTGTGCTCTGCCCCCACCAGAGGCACTGCAAGCAGGTGCCTCTATCCCTCGGTAGAGTTTCTTCCTCTGGGTTATACTTGCAGACACACCTGAGGCTCTAAATGCTCCCTGGAAAGGTAGCTGTGGCCACAGCTGCCCATGCACCCCTCTGAGAGATCTAGGAAGGTAGAGGTGGAAGGCTCAGCCTCTTAGTTATGGCCACTTGAGTAGGACCTCAAGTGAAAGCCAGCTAGGTTAAATCCACCTCAACAACACTCACCAGTACTTAACGATACACTGGTCAGGTGTTCTGGACCCCCTCATGCTCATGCTAATTCATGTGTGCCTTTGCTGACCCTGTGAGGTTGGTACTGCTATACCCATTCTACAGGTAGGGAAACTTGAGACATGGGGAAGTTGAAAAACTTACTTAAGGTTTCACAGACAGTAAAAAGAGGAAGCTGCCATTCAAGCCCAGCTGGTAGCCTTCAGAGTGCCTGTACTTAACCAGAGAGCTATGTGTCCCTCTCAGTACCTTACAAGAGTGGTAGATAAACTGAGGCCCCAAAGCAAAGTTTATGTATGTGTCTGAGGCTGGCTTCATTATGATGGAATTCAAGAGGAGAGCTCTGATCTCATGATGGAAGGGACATTCTGTACACCATCAGCAGTGGTGGGGTCAGCCTGGGGGAGGGGAAACTTCCATAGCATTGATCCTGCCCCAGACAAGTCTGTGCTGCCCAAGATGAGGGGATGGTGGCCACAAAGGAAGCCTGAATGTAGCTTCAGGCTCAGTTGTCTTGACCTAGTCCCCCAAAGCCTTCTGAAGGGTAGGGGACAGGGTGGGGTGGCTCAGGGCAGCCCTACCCCACCCACCCACACCTCTAAGGAAAAGGGACCTATATGGCCTATGATCAGAGGTCTTCTCTGGGCAAAATAAGCCAGAACCAGGGTCATCTTGAGAACTGAGATGTTGAAGAGCTATTTTGAACATGTTCTCCAGCACCTCGGTGCATAGATGAGGAAACTGAACCCCAAGGAGAAGGGTTTCCACAGTCAGAAGCATGCTAGGTGTGGTGTGTGTGTGTGTGTGTGTGTGTGTGTGTGTGTGTGTGTTCACATTTGCACAGTCCCCTAAAGAAGGTGCCTTGGCTGTCATGAACTGCCCTGGGACCCTCGGTGCTGTGGCTGGGGAATCACTGTTCCCATTGGCAGGGGAGATAGATACAGATGAGAGATCCCAAAGCAGCATGG